TGCGGACACAGTCTAAGAAGAAGACGTGGACCACATGCGAAGACCAGTTCCTGCACCACATCGAGGACCATGGGCTAACTTTAAGTTAGTTATAGGAAGCAAGAGAGACTGTTAGGTTTAGGTTTAGATTACGTAGTTAGGTTAATTTAGATTAAGTCATATGAGTCACTAATGAGAAATAAATATGTTCCAACAGAACGATAGTTCAGTTAAAGACGTTATGGTCAGGTCTGTTTAATGTCAGTTAAAGTAAAAGTTAAAGTTTATAGACATCCTATGGTTAAGTCCGGTTCGGTCACACAAAATTTACATCCACATAATAAAGAATATTGTATTAATTTTGAAATAAAGTGTTTTTTTAAAACGTGAGTTTCAAATTAATCAATAAAATTATACTCGGTTTTAAATCATATACACTGTTTGATAAGAAATTTGAGTTTATTTTTTCGATGCGGTTCTTGATTTTGAAAAGGTCATCCAGTTTGATCTCTTCGCTGTGTATGCCGAGGTTCAGTAGCGGTAGTTCTTTGAGTTCATCATTGAAGTCTGGAAATAGTATTGGTTGAGTACTATCTTGAAAGGGTTGGCGAAGATTTCTGATTGATTCTTGGCTGGAAGTAATGCTGCATCCTATTGGTACATGGGCAATATAGGTTCCGAATAGCTTCAAATATTCTTCACGCACTGGACAATTCAAATGGATACGTTCATCCGTAGGGAAGATGAGGGCCCAGCGGCTGGAGTCGTCTAACTGGTTGAATATAGGGGTAGTTATTTTAACTTCTATCTATATATATTTTCTTTTAGCTCAGCTTGATCACAGAGATAGTAGTGATCTCTTAAATTTAGGCATTCAGCTTTTTGATATGAGAAATGCCATTCGTTTTTGATTAGGAATTTATCTTCCGGAAGAATAACCTTAAATAAACTCTTTTTATACATAGGTATTGAATATAAATGAAAATATTCGAATTCGTAAGTATAGGTTATTGGAATGTGTAACAAGAAGGTTACTTTATTGTTTAAGATGAAACTATCTACCTTTATTATTTTCTCAAAAATCATGATGTTTTCTAACGAAACTTCTATAGGCATTCTTTTGGTATTAACGGTTTTTTGGAAATGCCGTAACTCTACTAATAGAACATTGGTTTTTATAATACTTGGATGTAATATTTCTAGTTTAGAGAAGGTTATAGCGTTCTCTATATCTTGCCACATAGAGTCAATTATTTCGTATATATTTGTTACTTCACTAATTGTATCCTTTATATAGTTAACATTTTCTTTATAAGTATTTTTATTAACAAATAATGCTATTTGACTTAATTTTGATTCAAGCAATTTTTCGTTATGAGATATTTTATTAATGGTCTCGTTAAATTTATTTATCAGATTAAGAGGAACAGCGTTTTCTTTGGGAATATTTATCGCTAGTTTATTTTGATTATTTTGTAGTTCATTAATTAAATCATTATAACGTTCTCCGTCTGCGAAATCTAAATTTCCGGTTATTGATTTAAAAATTGATCCTGCAATGATAATCATACCTCTTTTCATTCGCTGTGGGGGTGGAATTAATTCGCTAATTTTAGATTGAACTCTTTTTTGAGCAAGTAAAAGTATTTTTAAAAAGTTTGATGTTTCCATTTTATATTCATCATCAAAATGAGTTAATCAAAGCTGAATTTGTGTTTGAGAGGTTTTTGTATATTTAAAAGATGTATTTTCTTTTTGGTGTCAGTTTGACCTGTTTTTCTGAAAGTGAACCGAAATTAATTTAGAGGGTTTCTCAAATTTATCAGCATGTTTTTGACGTATATGCTTTTTTACGTAAACTGTTTGTTCTGGTTCGAATATGTCTTCAGGGTTGTCTTTATTATTATTAAGTTTTAATGCTAAATGTTCCTTTTTATCTCTAAGTTTTTTATTTATTTCGTTATAAAGGACTCTGGCCTTTTCTTTATGATCATTGACATAGTCAGTTAAAAAAAGTTGTTCTAGTTTTTGATTAAAAATGTCGTTAGTGGTGATATGTCCTTGTATAATGTCAATGGGTTTGCAGTTGGTTGCCGAATGGATTGTGTGATTGTACGCAAAAATGGTATATACCATTTTATGATTAACTGGAGAACTAGCAAAAGTTTGATTATTTAATAATTTGATATGTTCCGCAAGGGTTGAGTGTAATCATTCAATTCAAAGAACAAAAATGAACTTTTATCTTGTGAAGGGACAGTAGTTCGGTAACAACTGTTTTCTTAAATTCAGTGCCGTTGTCTAGTAGATTTGATTCGGTATTCCATGATGGGAAAAATATATTAGTAGATTGTTAACAATTTCTGTTGAATGGAAGGATTTCAATTGATAGCCTTTAGTGTATTTAGAAAAACTATCTATTATTGTTAGGAATTTGCGCTTTTCGAAGGTAAAGGTGTCAAGATGAATTATTTCAAAGGGTTTTAAAGCTGTTGGGGTGACGTCCATTGAAATTTTTACAGGTTTTCGTTCATATTTGCTTCGAGCACACATTTCACAATCGTTAATGTATGATTGGATAGAATTGTATGTGTAGTATGCAGATAAGTTAGTCTAACTAAAATTCCTACATTGTAGTATGTTGGCAACAAAATGTAAGCCCCGTTGAGAACTGCAGAACATAAAGAAAGTAAAATGAGAGAAGTGGCGGTGTAAAGCTAATAAAACTTGGAACCGCGTTGCGCCACAACCGGCTGACCGTCAATTACGGACAGCTTTGACTGGAAAAACCGGTATCTAGATTATCGGCTAGTAAGAAGCGGAAATTTTAAATTTTGAAAGGTACAAAATACTCCAGGTACAAAAATTTCGGTGTCTGCACATGTTATCTCGGTTATTAATGGTAATGGAAAATGTGCTGTTTACTCACCGAGACCACAGGGGGTAAGGACATAGAAATTGTAACACTCAGAATCAATCACCAAATCAGATCAATTTTAGATCCAGATCTAAGTTGCTCCATGAAAGGGAATGAAATAATATATACCTAAATCAAAATAAAATAACATTTATTGTGTAAGTTGACATTTGCTAAGTAAAAAAACATAAATTGTCTTCCAAATAGTCTCAAAAGGAAAAACTGGGTAGCGAAACTTGTGCCTTATCGGAGTCCCCACCAAAAGTATTCTCCTTATGTGCTGCAAGATTCTGTTCCATGCTGAACTATTAAATAACAAAAAATTTGGCCCGGAATTTGAATACCGGTTCTTTGCGTAGTTTTCAAGATTACCCTTTTTAATACAGAAATTTGTGCAGTTTGATGATGTACATTTATACGAAAGAACATGATCGTCAGGGTGACTCATTTTCATGTAGATATAAAATATAAAACCAAACAAGAAACAGATAAACAAAAAATACTACTATGTTAAAATGCAATTAATACCCGTGCAGTTATTAGAAATATTAAATTATTTCAACTCGGCCGATCAATCGAAAACGTGGTTAAAATAAGGTTAAAATTAATTGTTAGGTTAATTTCATTTAGCAAAGACAACATAGCAATTCAAGAATAATACCCAATCGCGTTGCTCCGCAAGTTTAAAAAGAACAGAACTGATCTAACCGGCGTTTGTTTTATTTTCTCCATGTCCTGCACGTTTCGTCCATGCGCAGAACTTCTTTGCCGAAAAGTCGATATTTTAGTGCCGTCAGCCGCCGGTCAGGCAGTTGTAGCGCTATCTGCGAAATGCGGAACAAGGACGCCCATAAGATAACTAGCGCATATATGCTAACTTGACTCGTTGTTTAAAAGACATGCGCATGTTGGATTGAGGTTACGTTAAGCAAAGCAAACGTATGTCATCAAATTTTTATGATTCAGGCAGTGTCTTTCATCTATGAAAATAAACGTGCTTTTGAGATTTTATATTAAACCTACAGTTATAAATATTTCCTAAACATAGTTGGTTAATGTTTTGATTAA